TCTTATCTCTCATAACATTAAGGTGATGAACGTGAGTCTGGCCGAGGGCGACGTGGTCAGATTTGAAGACCTGGCCGGCCGGGAACCTTCTGTCCTGGCCAACGAGTCCATCTTACTGAAAGGTCTGGTGGTACGCAGCTGGAGCAACCAAATCTCCATCCACTTCCGCAGCCGGCAGCCGCAGTCCAGCTCCTTGCTGCTGCGTTACCAAGGTGAGCCGTCCTACGTGTCAACCTCTAAACATCTGCTTCATCTACTTCCCTGCTAATTGCACTTGTGCCAGTGTCTCCGGCTGGCATGGATCCAGCGCTCTAGACAAACCTGTTTATGAGTGTACACTTACTGATTAGATTGGCACGAACGATTAGGACTCTGGGAGTAGGGAGCTCTCAATCATTGCTTTCTATTAGGAGAGACTCTCTGTGCACTGAAGGGGAAACACTCCTTGTTATCTCATGTCAGCATAATATGCTCATGTTAGCCTGAAAATGACAGCTGCTGTCAATAGGCCGCATAATTACATCAGAGAATGACTTGGATAATTCTCTGCTAATAGTCTTATAACAGAGTCATCAAGGGGAGATTGGCACAACAGAAAAGGTTACGGAGCGCTGATGTGCCCTGCCCCGCACAGCACCGCTTTCTCGTTTGTTACGCAGGGCGATAAAATGACAAATGACTGTATACAGGCAAATTCTTTTGTTTCTGTGAGCTAATGAACTGTGGCGGGTTTGTAGTGGAGTAATATCATTTTTTGCACATCCTTAATATGCCCTTTGAATAAGAAAGTCGTTTACACTCCACCCCCTCTTTCTGTCTCTCTCTCTGTCTTTATGAGTGTGTGGGGGGTAATCAGTGGTGTTCAGCTTTCTTAGAAAAGAAGCCGTACATTCCCTCTATTTGACTTATAGCAATCATCCGCAGGAGCCAGACAGCACATATTTCATAAAGTCTCTCTGTTTCTTTACAAAACTTCCAATTACTTCGCTCCGAAGGCCCTGCTCCCCCTGTTTCCGGTTCAATTTAATGTTCTCCAGCTGTTATGTTGGGTGGATGTGCACACGCAAGAGCAGCTAATTTTGCCACTGGGTTTACACTCGCCTTGACATTGATATAATGGCTAACAAGGAAGGAAAGGAATCAAACAGGGATTGAGATCTAGTGTAAATATATGGTGCAGAATGGCTGTAGATTTAGGGATGAACAAAAATGATATGATTACTATATTTACTCAACCTGTTGTCATTTTGAACCCGTGTGAGTGACTTTCTTTTGTAGATGACAAAAGAAGTAGTTTAACAGAATGTTCATACTGCTCTTTTTCGGATAATAAAGATAGTGATCAGAACCTGACCATAATTATTTTCCCTTTTGGCAAAACTCCCAAATCTCATGTATATTTATATAGCATGTCAAGATATTACATGCCAAATAAATGCCAAATATCAATGAAGTAATGTTATTTTAGTATTATTTTTATATTATTTTAGTATTTATTAATATTTTAAATTAGATTTTATTTTATTTTTGTATTTTCAGTTTCAGTCATTTTGCTTTGTGTCATTTTTATTATTTTTTATTTAGTTTTAATTTATTCATTTATTAGCTTTATGTATATTTCAGCTTTAGTTTTAGTAATTTTAGTACTTTAACTTTTCATTAGTCTTTTAAGGTTTATTTTTTCATCTAATTTATTTACATTTTATTTTAGCTACATATTTCAGTTACCAAAAATATTTTAATAGTTTTAGTTAATGATAACAACTCTGCAATGAAGCCAAATATTAATACCAAACGTGCATATTCGAATAGCATGAATATACAGCAGATTTTAAGGTTTTTAGATTTAAAGTGTATAATTTGTATAACTTTTAATAATATTTATAATAAATCAAATATTAATTTATAGAATAATAAATAAAGCATTTAAACAATTCACAATAATTATAATATTGAATTAAATTTTGGCCTCTTCACTCAAATCTGCAGTATGACTTTGGAGGATGTCTGTCATTTCACTTTGTTTCCAAAAACTTGTTGCATCTCAATAATTTGAGGTTAGAATCTCCCTACTGATGTCAAAACCAAACCTACAGCCTTGTACTTCAACATATTGAGGTTATAGAGAGAATGATCCTCATTGAGCTACCAAATAAAATGATAGTCCACTTGATTTTCTGCAATCATTGAGGTTAGATGCAGGTTCTGTTTGCATTTTTGCACTTTATTTAAGTTTTCCTTGCTTCCTTTCACCTCACTTTCAGAAAACTACTCGTAATGGAATAACACTTCTGGATGTTTTTGTTCGAATATCATTTTTTTTTGACAAGGTCATGTCAGACATGTCTAGAAAAAAAAAATTGGCTGTTTCGACATGGATGAGCCTGTATCTCCATTTGATTGCCTTAGCTTTTTCCAAGGCTTTGTGTTGTGAGCATTAGAGTAGAAACACATCAAACTCTTTTATAGTGCATTTAACTTTGATCTCTTGTCATGTGTCTGTAGCAACGCTATTTTCTACTATACCTCTAACACACCGGTCCTGTCTCAATGTTCAGCAGGCCGTACAGTTTGACGGATGACAGATTCTCTAAATGGGAACCTCCATCAGAGACACTCACATTAAAGATTTAGACCTCTCAATAATTCAGATCACAATGAAAGAACCCTCGCCGCCCCCCTTTGCGTCTGGATAAAGGTTAAACACAAACAAGGCAGGACTGATGGAGTGGAGTTAGAAATGGAGGCTGTTGGGGTCTGAATGGCCTTTCAACAGGTAATCGCCCCCTTCGCCGCACCACCAAATGCCACAAGCTTCAGATAATGTCACTCTCATACGACACTGCAGAGGAAGCACATCTGTATGCATATGCATGTGTTGCAGGTAAACTGATTTGGCGAATGCTTTAGCAGGGTATTATGAGCTGAGGATCTCAGTCCTGCCCCGGTAAGAGCTCAGTTGTGTAGTTGAGCCGTGATAAAGTCGGCTGATCTGGGCTGAGCCTAGCCGTGCATGGCGAGCTGCTGTGTGAGGTGATGGCTGAGGAAGCTGCTGTAATATCCTCCACCCTGCCGCTCGCCCCTCCCAGAGGAGATTAACCCTGCAGGGCGAGGGATCACCTGCTGAGATACACGCTCTCACCCACTGACACACATCCTCAGCCGAAGCAGGGCTCCACTTCTTGCTTTTTTTTGTCTGTTACTTTCTTTGCACTCTCGTTTGGCCAAAATTCACACTCACCAAGCACCACATGCAAGTAAAAAAGACTTTTGCGAGTAAATGAAAGCTTTGCTGGCCAGTTGGCATGTAACTTTTTGAAGAAAATCTTATTTTTTTTATTTATTTAAGGATTCAGTAAATTCATTGACTGTTGTGAGGTTTTTTTAACACTTTTTTTTTCGTTTTTATGAACAAAATAGTAGAAACAAAATAGTTTTTTAGACATGTTTTTACTGAGTTTTTTCACTATCACTCACAGCACAGCATGGTCTTTTAGTTTCAATCTTTCTGAAAATCCTGCATCGAATTGTGCCTTGTTTGTAAACGAACCTGTGGTAAAATGAAGTGAACAAAAGACCAAGTTCTTACTGATGCGGTCTGGAACTTCATTAAAAATAAACTTCTTCCTTTTGTTTTTTGCATAGACCTGTGTTTGCCTCTCTCGTTTTTTACCTACTACATGCACGAATTGGTGGGTGGGGCTAAACAGGCAGTGATATAGAAGCAGGCGTTATTCTTCTGCTGAGGAGGTGGAGTTTAGCCACACTATTACATCATAAAGTGCCAAATTCCACAACCTGTCATTTTGGCAGATTGGCTTCAATATAACCTCTTTTAGATTAATGATAAAGTTTTGAGTTCTGAAACTTAAAGGATGTTTTTAAAGCAAAATGACCTCAAGGGAATTTTAATTTCTCAGTTCATGACCCCTTTAACAAAAACCCAATAAAAACAGTAATATTGTGAAATATCAATACAATTTAATCAATTTAATGTATCTCTTTTCTATTGTATTTTATATGCAATTTATTCCTGTAATGGCAAAGCAGAATCTTCAGTGTCACATGATCCTTCAGAAATCTTTCTAATATGCTGATTTGTGGCTCAAGAAACATTTCTTATTATCAATGTTGAAAACAGTTGTACTGCTTAATATTTTTGTGTAAACAGTGCTAGATTCTTCAGTGAATAGAAAGTTCAAAAGAACGTCTCTAGGTTACGTATGTAACCCGAGGGAACGAGACGTCGAGATTTGCTTTGGGAACGCCCTTGCGTGACCGCGTTCTGAAGCACGTGTCAAATCAGTCCAATGGAGCAGCGAGACGTCACGAGCGGGGTGATGTAAGCACGAGAAAGTATAAAAGCGCATCCGGCAGCGCGCAAACCAGCTTCGATGAAGTAGCGTCTGCAGGGATGCAGGGAGTATGGCAAAGAGACGCAGCGTCTCGTTCCCTCGGGGAACCATGGTTACATACATAACCTAGAGACGTTCCCCTTCAGGAACTCGAGCTGCGTCGAGATTCGCTTTGGGAACGAGAATATCCACTGCGCCATACTACCAAGTCCCTGCCTGTGTGTGTATCTTACGAGCACATCACGAAGAGAGAACTTGGGAACCTGGGGTAGATGCCAGGTCTAGGTTGTAAAAGCAGACAAAAGTGTGCGGAGAGGACCAGCCCGCCGCAGCACAAATGTCCTGCAAGGCCACACCCAAGTTGAAAGCCTTGGAGGCCGCCATACTCCTGGTTGAGTGCGCTCTGACCCCCAT